ATATATATATATATATATATATATAGGTATATGTAGTGTGCACACGCATATACGTATACGCTGGATTAGATAGTATATATTATACAGAGTGTTTCGGAAGATGCGCGTTTTCTCTCCTATAATTATCTATAAACTCTAGACGGACTCGAAGGCAATGTCCTTCCGGCGCGGAAGAAGAGTTCTCATAGCACGGTTAATTACCGAGTCATTGAGAATTGAATAGCCGAAGTGCAAATAGATAACAAGAAGTGATTATAAATCGGGTGTACTTAAACAGAATCTTAATTAAAAGTTTAATGAATGAAATGTTTAATGATAAAAATTGAAACGTTACCATAATAGCAATTTAGTCAATTTTTCGTTACAAAATTATTTCAAATTTATTGAAGTCTTTAGTTAGACAAAATATACAATTCTTAATACACGTATACACATATATAAACAAACTATTTCTTAAAGTAGGTATAAATAACATATATATTAACATGTTCATAGTTAAATCTATATGAATGTACGTTTTCGTCATATGGAAATGAGTTCACAACACAATTGCGCGACAGAATGTTTTGCAGTAGACAACGCATTCTGCGCACGTCTTGCGGTTGAACGTACGTTCCATGCCTTTAGCCACCTTCTATCACTTTTCAGTGCACCCATGCGCTGACCTTTACTACTACACTACTGTCGACGTACTTGCCGCGCGGGACTCTATGTCAAGATGCCCTAACGTGGACCTTTGGGGATGTCCTTATGGACTCAGTATCCCTATATATATTCGCAAGATAAACAGCTGACCTATTTTCACCCTGTTCGTACATCGATTTGGACATTATTTTCTATTTCGACTCAGCTGTTCTCAACATACAATTACTACTTTCAAATGATGCTTCTATGGCTCTACAATTTTTGGAAAACACTATTCGCTTCGCTTGAATCGCTGCCGTATAATCAACCCAAGTTGCTTTCGGCACACATATAGCGGAGTTCAATTACCGAGACGTAAAAGCATTTCTTGGGTTTTCACTGGCAACTCTTGCTTCTATTCGCTAGATCTGCTCTACCGTTCCCTTCTTCCAGAAACAGATACTTCGGAAGTAGTCCCTAAGGCGCGCCCTTACCTCCTCACCAACGGATAGCTTACTGCACCCTGGGTGAAAAACTCTCCGTGTCCGGGGGTCGATTCTTTCTCATTTTATGGCAACCAGGGACCTATTTCAGCTGCGCGTTATGTTGCTACTGGTTTTTACGGCAAGGTAGTATCAAGATCTTGCACCCTTGATAGTTAACTGTCTATCTATGTGTGCGCAAGAAATAATATTTGAAGGTGAAATAATATTTGAAGGTGTTTATTTTTGCAACAACTTGATAATACTAACTTGATAACCATTGAATACATAACAATTAAAACAATAATTAAATTAAAATTTGTATTTATTAGTGCCGTTAATATTTTTGTTATATGTATATGAAAAGCTAAACTGATTAATAAGAAATATGATGAAATATAATTCGGATGTTGTCAAAATATCTCATATGTTTGGTAATATTACCAATCATGAAATTAACTGGATTGCAGCAAACTTGATTATAATGTGTTGTGTAATATTAATACATATATAATATCTGTCATTCTCGTTTTATATCGTACTATTAATTTGCATTAGATTGTTGATTCATGAGCGTAATTACCATTTTCACGAGCTATTAATCATCTAATCATCATATGTAAATCGTCGAATTAAATGCGCTTCACCCTGACGTCATTACACAAATGCACAATGATTCACGAGATGTGTACATGAGACATTATGCATCATAATATTTATGTGTATTATTTAAAGAGTCGTTTGCGAGATAATTATTGTATTATCCCAATTGCGAAAAAAAGTTTCGAAAGGTTAGAAAAAATGATTTGCCATTGTGAGATACCATTATGGATATCCATGTGCTTTTTCAACGTTATTTCTTATTTCTTTTATTTTCACTCTTCATGCCTGCACAACTTTACTGCGTGCCTATAAAGATCAAATGTTAAACAACGATTATAGGTACTATCGTGTAATAGCTTAGGGAATGTTAGGGAATGTTAGATGTTTTTGTCCTCGCACGAGAATATGCATATTTAATATTTACGTTGTATTGTCATATGCAGAGAATCAACAAATAATAATTCGTAAATTGTGACTATGTTTCTAAAACTTAAATATTTTTATCTTATGAAATATTCTGAAACGAAATTGATAATCGGGATAAACTATGAAATAAACCGTTGATAAAATACATCGGAGTTGTTGGTATAAAATGGATGAGAGAACGCGCAGTTAAACAGAATGTAAAATATTTTTGTCCAGAATTAAGGAACATCGAGGGAACAGAAAATGAAAACGGCAAGCCATTTTGCAAACGAATGACAACCGGATGACGTGATCGAGCACGAGATGGGACATCTGTCGGCTTTTATACGTCTATCGCGTTGCACCGACGTTGCAAAATTATGCAGCTGGCACTTTCTCGAGACAGAAACAAGTGCACGGCGATGGAAAGGGGCGTGCACAATGTAAAAGAGTCAAGAAGATGCAGCAGCCCGATGGAACTTTATCGTGACGGCTTCTTCAAATCGTAATGGCTGCACGCGCAGTTTACGGCGGAAGTGTATCTCGTAAATATGCATCTCCGATGACGTCACGATCGAAGTGCATTTCAAGGATGCTAGATGTGGTTATAAACTTTCTAAATTCAGATGCCATTTGGGAAGTGAGTCACTTTCCCGAGACTTTATCGCGATCGTAACGTAAAAGTTGGCCATTTCAATTTTTCCACGCATCCGTAATGTTTAGAGAGCTATTTAAAAATGGTAAGAAAGTATTCCAAATATTCAAAACATAATCAACTGGGAGAGGAAATTCAATTTTATGCATTAATCCTGTAACGAAAAGGTTTCATCATTTATCTGAAACTTCTTCAATTTTCAGTATACTAGACAAATAACATCCCTTTGCTACATAACATATGCATCTAAAAATGTCGATAAATATTATTCTTTACTTTTTATACTTGCACTCTATGCAACTTTCTACAGCCTATTTCACTGAATGTTTTGCTCTGCGATGGTTCAATTTTGAATGCTTTAGATGGAACCGAAAGAGGTTGACGAAAAAATTTGGTGAGCTAAGCTCTTCCTTCTCGTGTGCGATTTTGAAGTGTTCATAACTTATGCCCATGTTCGTTTTTTGCCTGTCGAAGCGCCGTATAAAACGAATTTATTGCATCGGCGCATGCATGTCGTGGCGGTGGCTGCCTTCGCGAATATTTTCGTGCACTTCTCTTGAATGACGCTATTGGAATTTCGTTCGTCGATGGGCCGATATTTTTAGGACGTCCTACCTATTACCGATTATGGGTCTACTACTTCGCTTCCATCGAATTTTCATCCGTAAATAATATTCATTTTTTTTTTAATATGTTATTTGAACAATCTATGACTTGATTCGATCCTTTCAAATTAAAAGAAAAATTTGTTGTTAGAATGAAGAAAAGACGTTCTTTCGCATTTACTTTACATTCTCCATTATAAATTTCTTATCTTTTGCATCTTAAAATTTTTACTTTTATAGGAAATAATAAAGGAAATACATAATATATGAAAACTATGAATAAGTTTCTTACATTATCTATAATGTAATTTAATCATGATATTCTCTTATAAAAACTAACTTATGTCGAAACTTTATCTTTTATCAAAAATGCTTAATAAAAAACATTTCATATTTGTGTTAGAAATAATACACTCAAGTTTTTAAAATGTTAAAATTTTGTGTCGAATTTTTAACACATTCGA